TTGGGAAAAAAATTGAAAAGAAATAAAAATAAGAATACGGAGACAAAAAGGGGAATAAAGGAGTCAAGACGATAAAAAAAAAAGAGTTTTAGGGAGAAAAAAGAAAAATGACATGTGGGACAACTCGATCGGAGAAGATTTTGTGAAAGTTGGGATTTTTTATTGAATGATTTGCAAAGAAAATGAAAAAACCCGAAATAGTATAGTAGGTCATCAACCGGTCAGGAACAAGCGAATGAAGATGAGGTGCAAAGGTTCGATTATTCCTGAATTTCGATAAGGTGGACTATCATAAGAAAACCACTGAAATGTTGGATTATTATTTTTCATTTCCCTTACAAAAACTGAAAAACTAGAGTATCATTTTTATAAATTTAGATTATACTCCCTCCGTCTCTCTATTATTGTCTCATTTCCTATTCACTTGGTCAACACAAATCACTCTTAATCTCTTACTTTATGTATCAAATTTTTATCAAATTTGATTCTGGTTTTTGCGACTTTGTAAATCTTTTAATGTAGTTTCTGAATATGTAATTTTTTTTCCCCAAAAATAATTTGAGTGCGGGCAAGGGTCTGTTTGCTTTATCGTCGGTCAAACATCGTAAACCGCAATGAGACAATAACAGAGGGACGGAAGGAGTATATAAATAAAGTTACTTATTATCGCATAACAAGGTCCAAAGATTGTTAAGAAAGAACAATGCATCATATATTCGATGAATAGAATACAATGAAGTATATAATGTTAATCTTGTGTGATCACATATTATTAATTTTGAATGATTGACGGTCAAAGTTTAAGAAGTTTGATTCAAAAGTCAAACTGGAACTTTAATTAGGGGATGGAGAAAGTATAACACTAATATATAACTATTTATTGTTCATAACATTTTGTGTTACCAATAAAATTTAATTGTACTCGTTATATATATACAAATTTATAAGATCTTACATCTTCTAGTTATATATCTTTCATATGTTATATATGCATCCTGATTTGATTAATAATTAGTAATACTATTTTCATTAGAAGTAAAAGCAATTGCTACCTCTGTTCTAAAATAAATCCAACAATCAACTTTTCATGTTTATCAATGCACAACTTTGATCATTAACATATTTAATTATTTACTATCGAGAAACTTAAAAAAATAAATTTTGAAAATTTAAAATGTGAAAACATTAACAATATTTCTATGAAAATAATTTATCAATACATTAATAAATACGGAGTAAAACATAGCCAAAGTAGCACATGTGAATAGTGTAAAATTCAATATGTTACATTTATTTAAGAACAGAAGAAGTATTATTTATAGAAATAATATTTTGTATAAATAATTATAAGCGATACAAGATTCACAACCTAAAGGCGCGCCAAAACTAAATGGAAAGGCATAAGAATAACACTTTATTCTTAAAACCATTATAATTAATTATTAATCCATTTAGATTATAGAGTGCAAATGTAAGTAAATTCAAAGTAGTTTCGGAGATTTATTTTAAAAACAAGATAAATTTGTAAGTCTGATGATATTTGGAATTTCAATTAATTAAAATATACCATGTTTAGTGATAATAGAGGAACAAAAAATGGTAAATAGAGGACATGTAAGTCTCTACTCTGCTCTGCTCCCTGTACGTTGTCGCGTGAGTATTTTTGTGTGTGCCCCACGTGAGTGACACTTCACCTTCCATGTTCTTTTCAATTCCCTCCCCATGCAATAAAATTAATTATTTATTTTTTGAAACAATTAATGCAAAAAAGTGTCATAAAATCATGATCCATGGAATTTCTTTTTTACTCTTTTTTCTTTCTTTAGTTTCAGTCATGTTTATCGTGAAGCTAATTATGGCCGATAGGGTGACAAGGTTTGGTCTTAAACAAGGGTTCTTTTTTATTCTCCTCAAGAATATTATTAAGTTAGACGACATTTTCCTTTTATTCTTTACGCGTTAAGTTTCCCTTTAGGTGACCAAAAAAAATAATAATAATAATTTAACAGCAGGCAGTGTACGGTGACGGTCCAATTTATTTATTTATTTATTTATTTGCTTTTTACCGTATAGAAAAATAATAAAAGGATCGGATGGGAGTAGATATACGGAGCATATGGCATGTATTCATCGTCAACGTCAATAAATAAGATTAGTTGGAGACTGGATCGTAATTAATTAACATACCTTTTAATAAATGCGTGTTGGGGCCGATCAATCCATTGTTATTAGCATTAAATTCCGCTTAATTGATTTGTCAAAGATATACTAGCTTAGCTCGTATACCACAAGTTTACATTCCTCCTAGACCCCTACCTAGGCATCCTTAGCTTCATCCTAATTAGCTAATTTTTGTCCCATAAGCATACATTTTGTTACTCTCACGCAACATTTCGACCGTATATATTAATGGAGTAAAAGTATTTGACAAGAATCATGTCAACATTCATGATTTTTTTTAATCTCTAAAAATGATACATCAAAATGATGAGACTACTAATTCTACACTTCCATAATAGTGTTAAGTAACCCTTATTACATACTACGTATAATTAAAATTCTACGGAGTATAACGGAAAAAAATACCTAAATATTACACATGTTTTTTTTCTCATACTACGTACGTATATGAGTACTATATATGTTTTTGAATGCAAATGACTATAATTCTCATCTAAGACATGAGAACATGAGTGGTTTAAAAAGACATGATTCATTAATGATCCTAACTTCCAACAATAATACCTCCGCCCACTAACATTGTAATATGAAGAAATGATAAGATTATTAAAAAAGTGGGTTTGTGTAGTTGATATTGAATCAAATAAAAAATGATTTAGAGCTACACAAACTTTACCTAATTTGATATGAGGGACAATCTTAGTGTGATTTTCCAAAACAGAAAAATGGGACGATAAGGAAATAATAGTGTAGAATTAATTAATATTTTTCTGTTGTCAAACTCACCACTGTTCTCATTGTTCTGATCTTACCTTGGTTGTTTCTTTTAATTGGCTCATTCGTCAGTTAGATGTTAAAAATGCATTCCTTCATGGGCATCTCACAGAGGAGATTTATATGCGTCAACCACCCGGGTTTGTTCATCCACAATTTCCCAATCATATCTATCGTTTGCGAAAGTTCATTTATGACCTCAAACAGGCTCCCCGAGCATGATTTCATCGGTTGTTTCTGGACCGAATTGAAGTTCCAAATCAATGTTGAAAGGGAAATTGGGTAAAGCCTCGATCCAAGTCCGGGCTAGATCAACATCGTTTCAAAAGGACCAACGTGACGCTAGAGTTGGACACCAAAACATGCAATCACTAGCTTGAGATGTAATGAAAATTGAAAAATAACCATGAAACATTTCTGTACGAATATATTTCTCTACATTTTAGTACGAATATATTGCTCTACATTTTAGTATATCTTAGTAGGTGAGCAATATATTCGTACAATTTCAGTATTATAAAAGTGATAGTAGCAGCACTTCTTTCACTGTTACGGTTTTTCATTTTTACTTTCAAATCCAATTTAATATGATTATGTTGTTTGAAATGCTTTTTTAAAAAAATCATGGCCAAAATGGTGTTTTTATCGTTTTAGGCTACATGTTTTTATCCGTTCCAAACGACGATCTTCTTAGTTAGTGCCCTTATTTTACATCACACGGCATTGTAGGAGTTAACTTCTTCCCGACAATCCAAATGTATTGAGCAATCGATGAATATCTCCCAAAATGTGCATTTAATCAGTAGATAACAACTTGTCATGAGAAGAAGTTACAAGTGAATGGACAACATCAATAACTTGAAAAATTAAGAAAAATGATGGGTACACAGTTATGTGTGTACAGACAATTCGGTGTGTGTGAGACGGAAAAGTGTACGAAAGGTGTACACCAAAAGGTATTTTATACTATTGTTGAACGGTTTGAAAAATATTTATGAAAATAAACATTGACAAATGTGACGTCACTTTGTTGCTTCATCGACAAGAAGACCGAGCCGTGCCTCTTACTAACTTAACCATTAAGTGTCTCATTAAATATTTTTATTCAAAAATGGGGTTTAATGCACCAAACTCCCTCCTGAAATATAAATTTGACATTAATGTGATTTAAAAAATGCGTTAAACCCTCCTGTTTTATAATTAATCATGTGTCAAATCCACTCCAAAAACAAATTTAATTTCCAAAAAATGAAAAAAGATTAATTTTTTTTGTATAATTTAGAAATTTTGATAAAGTTACTTGCATATTCAACCATATTATTAAAAAAGTGATTTCAAAATTGTAAAATTTGTTCTTGAATGGGGTTTTACGCATGATTAATTAATTAAAACACAGAGGGATTTACGTTTTTTTTTAAATCAAATGGAGCTAATGCGTCGAATTTATATTTCACAATGGGGTTTGACGCATTTAAAATGTTTGGATTACAACTTTAAAATGAGCTTACAATCAAAACAAAACATGTGAACATCCCAAAGGTGTTACGACATAATCCATATGAGTCAACAAATCTGAACCGGTTTAGAAACTAAGTACTAGATAGAAGATCGGGCTTCTCATAGTAGAACACACAACACCAATCGTCCTAAAAATGGTACGGGGTTATTGTATTTCATCAAAATTTAGAATTGCATTTTAAAAGCCCAAAGGTCTAAACGAATCAACATTTTAGTCGGTGTCTTTATTGAAATAAATTGTGAAGCTTCTTGACAAAGGTGCCATTGACGTTTAATTCTCAAAATGGCCTTATTTTGTAGTCTGATGACATTTTTAATCTGGGCATCATTGTTAATCTCAGAAAAGGATTATCATAGGTTTGAGTCTCATCTTAAATATCCACCAAAGATGATGTTATAAATTTAGAAAGATTCCACAAAAAATCACAAAATGAAAATACTCCTATAAAGGTTCTGGGTTGAAAATTTAAAGAAAGTATCATAGAACAAATTTACCCACAATAGCTACCTACTGTTTTAAGTAAAGGGGTGGCAGTAAAACTGTAAAAGAGTAACTGATGATATGTTGATTTAGAATGTAATGATAGTTAAAATAGGAATTTTAACCAAAAGTAATTACCAAAAAGAAAACATTTACTTTCAATTTGTGACAACTCCAACCTAACCTTCAATGGCGGGGTAGTTAACATGAACAAGCCTTTAACCACCTTAGAATATACAACCATTGCAATAAATAAATAAATGAATAAACACAAGAAAAAAATTCCTTTAAAATGCATCATGTGCAGATAAAATCTCGAGCTCAGCCCACCAAAGAGGAGATGCCTTTGGGGCAGCAGCGTCAGGCCCAATCCCAATTATCTCTCTCAGCCTACCACTAATTTCTCTCATACTAGGCCTCAATCTTGGGCTAAGACGGAGGCAAGATTTAATCACTTCACCAAGCCCATCCATCTGCTCTGGATTGAAAGAACATAGAATTGGGTCGGCCATTTCCCGGAGGGACTTTCTGCCCCTGACATACTCCGATGCGACGTCGTTCAGCGCGTTTGGTTGCCGGCCAGTCACAATCTCAAGCAGAATGCCACCGAAGCTGTACACATTGGTCTCCGGAGTTGACGTGTCATCGTCAGCAGAATCGTCATCCCATGTGATGAAGTCCCACACTTTGGCTGCATAGTCTTCCGTGAGATGAATCGCAGAGGATTTGAGGTTCTTGTGTGGGACCGGCGGTCTCAGCTGGTGCATGTGTTCCAGACAGTATGCTACGCCCATAATGATTCTCATTCTCATTCTCCAATCCAAGTGATCCACCTCCCTAGCTGCAGTGGTGAACTCTCAAATCAGATAAGTTTTACACGTGTAAGGTGAGGTGTGTAAGGTGCTCGCCGTACAACCAGATATTTTATGTTAAACACTTAAGCTTGATGAGTACTCCCTCCGGTCCGTATTAAAGTTCTCACTTTCCTTTTTGGGATGTCCCTTATTTAAGTTCACACTTCAATTGTAGGAAACAAAACAGTGCAAAACAATGTCAAACAGTGTCCCAACGGTGCCAAACAGTGCACTCCAAAGTATCAAATTTATTTTCTTAATCTGTGTGAAGTCAAACTGGGAACTTTAATAGGAACCGGAGGGAGTATAAAGTTTAAAAGAAAAGAAATGAGCATTCATATTAAATCACTCTATTGGAAGCACAATTGATTACTCCATATTAGAAACATGCAATTCAGTATCATGACTTACACTTAATATATATGCTAAAAATGAACTTATTCATTTAATTATATTACTCCGCATCATATTATCATCAAGATATTTATTGTGCTAATTTTATATTTTAATACTAATACTCATTTCTTTTAAACGGCATGCTCAGTTCTATTAAGATAAAATACCCAACTTTATCGTGTGTACGGTATAGACGGTTGTATGGTATTTTGTACCAATGTGTACATGCCGCCGTCTACATGCCACTTTCACAAACCCGCAAACAATTTCGTTTTTTATATAAATTCTGTATTTTTTTCAATGAATTGTCTGTACACACATACAACTACAAGCATCTACATAGCCCAACGTGTACACAGATTTTTCCTTTGTACATATTGTCACAAAATCAATCATTGTGTGTGAAATTATGTCATAACATTTCGATTTAAAGAAAATTTTTGTGAAAAACAAGTAAACTTTCACAACTTAGAGAAGCAATGAATGCAATGGTTGACATGAATAGGACGAATTTGCAAAAGAAAAAGGGCTCAATAGGGTTTAAATCAAGAAGCTCATCAATGTTATCAGGCCAAGTGGGTTGGGCGTGCTTGGCACATTATAATGTCCCAAGCCTGTGATATTTGTACGAGAACATTCTCTAAACAAGATAAAGGTTGGAATATAAAATAACAGGACAGTTATTCCTAAAAGTCTGTGATATTTTGTCTGCTAAAGATTAAACAAGAGATAGGCGATTGAAGAGGGCACTCACAGTGTAAATGCTCAAAAAGTGTTCCATTAGGAGCATATTCAAAGACCATCATTCTCGTGAAAGGTTTCTTTTCAACGCAAAAACCAATTAGGTTCACAAAGTTCTTGTGATTCACTTTTGACAGCATATCAATCTGAAACCAGAATAATAACCAGCAGGTCAAAACTTGGAACCAGATTAGTATCCATAATAATTAACTTTTTCCGCCAAATAGCCCTTACAAAGCGGATTCTTAAAGACCAAGATTAACCACAGTACCTTCTTTCTGAACTGCATTTCTTGATCTCGTGACCAATCCTTGTGAGACTCGACAGTGAGACATATGACTGCTATCTCCACCCCGCTGGACAATATGCCCTTGTAAAATGTACAAAATGATGAGGCGCCAACCACATTGCTGAAATCTTCACAAGCTATCTCTAGTTCTTGTCTCTTAAGACTTGGCACACCTTTTTAGAAGAACACAGAACAAGAAAAGAGAGATTATGTCACGAAGAGAGTATCTAATATCCACCAAGTATGAAATGAATGAATCTATTAATAAGTGTCAGTCTTTTTAAGATTGAGTTTGGCCAAACCTTATTCTCAACAATTTCACTATAGTGGTGTTCTTAACAAACTTTTGTAGCATCCCAAATCAACTAAAGAAAGATGGACACTAATGTTTTGGATCTAACTCCGCCTCAAAACTCAAAGCGCCTCAACATGTGAGGTTTTGTCAACTTCCACTAAAGACTTCATTCATTCATTCAATTTGTTGAGTGTCTTAAATCAATTAAGTGTGCGGTAAAGTTCACCTCTAGAGGATCCTTATGGTGTGTGCTAGGCAATTTTAACAAGTATCAAAGTTTGGTGTGATTGGGGTTTGTTTATTTGACTCTTTGGCATTTATGGTTCGAGGTTAGCGTGTTTGGGATCGATTTGGTACATCAGATGTATGCCAAATCTATATTTGAAATATAGGAGTGAGGTTTACTTCACCCCTTGACATTCTTTTGGAATTCGCTAAACCGAATCTAACAGACATTAGCCGATGTCCAACAATCTTCAAGAGTTAAAAACGCAAATAAAAGTACCTGTGACAAATGCTCTCTGCAACTGCCCACTTAAACCGGTGGCCCAGGGTTTGACAACAGCTATGTTATTCTTATGACAAAATACCAACAAACTAGTGAGCAGAATTATGAGCAGAAGAGAACCACCCGCGATTGCAGATACTATCAAAACTTGGTTGGATTTTGGGCTGAAATTATGTGATGAAGAAGTAGGTGCTGAAGAGAGGGTAATAGAAAGAGCAGAGGTAGGCGCCAACTGTGGGACCCTAGAGAGTGAGGGCACGCGAGAAGGGGAAGGTGAGGGTGCATGAGAAGGGGAGGGTGAGGGACCAGGATGTACAACAAATTGAACATAATACATGGTAGCCCGGATTGGAAAGATGAATGGGATGTGAGTTGCTACTTCCATCAATTTCCTGTTGGCTGCTACATGTCTGGACTTTCCCATGCTCCTGCATACACACCACCATAAAAGATGAAGTTAGGAACATCTGAATGATGATAGGAAATCCACTTGTCAAACAGTTAGGCTCTTTTTGGTAGCCAGAGTTATCTCGTTTTGGTTATTCTGTTTATAAGTGGAAGAACTAGAGCTTTTGATTTACTTAAGTGGCTGAAATGGAAATAACCAAGCACTTTTTCTTTGGGATTTTTTTTGCAGATTTAGCTAATTAAGCCAAATAATGCATGTCAAACAGGTCGTAAAACTACTGATAGATGGGAAGAACTTGAGCTGAATGAGAATAGGAAATCCACTTGTTCAGGGTCTGTTTGGTAGCTAGAGTCGTCTTGTTTGGTGATTCAACAAATTAAGTAGCTTTTGACTAACTTATTTGACTGAAACTGAAATTACCAAACGCTTTTTCTTTCAGAAATCCAATCTTAACTGCCATTAGGTTTCATGAATCAGCTAATTCTACTTACGGGCACAATAATGTAGCCTCTAAGGGTTGTGTCTTACTTGGCTAAACCCAACTTTACCAAACATTTTGCTTTCAAAATTTAGCAAATTCATCATTTTAGCCAAAATAACCCTTACCAAAAGGGTCCTTAATGGATTCTCATTTTTAAACGGAAATTTGCTTTTTGTCACATCATGATCATCCTTCAAAAACTAGAGGGGCTTATCCATTATAGAAATGAACTATGACTATGAAGTCATATATCTCCATAAGCTCCTCAAACTTTCTAGAAATGTCGGAGCCCGATGTCGTAATAGCGGGCCGGTGCTTAAATTTTTCATAAAGAGACAAAGCTTTTTTTTACATATATACTTCGTATTTAGTTTATATGGTTTATAAGTATTCTACTCTCTAGGTCTCTCAAATCTAATAGAAGTGAAGAACTATGAAGAGATAACATCTAGGAACAAAATCCATTCTAGATTAGGAGAAAAAACTGCACAATATACATTGGACGACAAAAAAGTATGAAAAATGGAAAAACAAGCAATAGCAGCTTCTCCCACAAAAATGCTATATACTCGTATAAAAAACCTATCAAGAGGAGAATTTAAATTTCAACAAAAAAAAAACTTACAGGCCATTTCTTTCGGAATAATAAACGCTGTCAGACGAAGAAGAAAGCTGAATTTCCCCTCCATAGCCATCTTCCTTGGATCTCAGAAAAATCAGACCTGCAGATATTAGACATTTAGACTTCATTCAATAAAACCTAAATAAACCAGAAATCTCCACCCGAAGAGAAAATTAACTCAATTGCAGATAAAGTGAAATAATTTCTTAAATAAATAATAAATGGAGAGATTATACCTTTATCACTGAGAGACCCACAAACAGAAAATTGTCGGCAAACCAAAACCAGGAAGAAAAACAGTGAAACTGGAACCAAGCGAATTTCTCGCAACCTCAGTAACCTCATGGCCACTTCCTCGGACCAAAAACAATAGAATCTAATGTACTAATAATAATGACTTTAAAGATAGCTCCTCGAACTCGTCAAGGAATCTAAAACAAAAACAAAAACAAAAACAAAATAACTACGGAGTACAAGGAAACAAATGAGTGTCCATCAAGTTTTTCTGGACTTATTGTGTAGGAAACCCCAGAGAATGGTTCATTGACTGACTTTAAACAAAAGAAAATAAGGTAAGTTCAAAACAAAAAAATATTAAAAAAGTGATCACAGGATTTTCGAGATCTATGAGGAGAATTTTGAAGGAAGAGGACACCGTCTTCTCCGATGCTAATCATACTGCACTATGTAGAGTCGTAGACTAGGACTGGTTACAATCATCAGAAAGATCAACAATAATGACTTCAGTTAATTACTACTCGATATTCTATTTATTTTATTTCCCTGTATCAGGTTTAATGCATCAGACCCTTTGTGTTTTAATTAATTATGCGCAAAATCTCTTCTATTAAAAAATTCAATTATCAAATAAAAGAAAAGTTATTAACATTTTTGTATGATTTAGAGATTTTGACATATTTACTTGTATATCCAATCAAAATATTAGGAAAAGTTATTTCAAAATCATTAAATTTAGTTATAAAAGGAATTCTGTGCATGATTAATTAAAACACAAAGGGATTTGACGCATTTTTCAAATCACATGGGGCTAATGCACTGAATTTGATTTGCAAAATTTCATGTTTGTCTCAAAATAGTTTTCCACTTTCTATTTTAGGTATTTAAATAAGAATAAAGTTACAAATTTACCCTTACTTTTACTTTTTCCCCTAACATAAAGGGTGCGGCTACTTTTAAAAAAAGATGAGAAAAAACGTAAAAAGCAAGATCATTTATTAGTGTTTCTTAATCCGTATGTCTCGTCAAAGTTTGTAATACAATTGGGGAGGGAGGGAGTAATACAATGCTACAGGTATCCCAAAATTTACCTCATTTTTACCTCTACCCCCTAATGTGTGACCATAAATGGGACAATTCATTTAAGTGGGACAACACTTAAATGAATTGGTCCATTTATGACCACAAATTAGGGATTAGGGTAAAATGGGGTACATTTTGAGGTACTTCTAGCAAAACTCATTTATTTTTGTGTGTAAGGTGTCTTGATTACTCTGTATTGATCAGATTTTACCCCGGGAAATGGTGTGTACAAAAATTGCGTCACGTTGACCAAGTAGAAGAAACGAGAGGCTTTGTAAATGACAGGTAAGTTGTGGGCCCCCACATTTATGTGTTTTGACAAGCGTGCAGAAATAGTTGGGGGCATTTTTATGAGATGACTAATTGTTTTTGTGAAAATATTACTCCATCCTTCTCTCCGAATTAGATTTTTTTACAAAAATATTACTACCTCCGTCCTATAATTTACTTCTAAAATAAAGTGCCACGCGGAATAAGAAAGTGAGAATTGTGTGATGAAGAGTTGTACAGAGGAGAGAGAAATGATGTGAACCACAAATTCTTTGCCATCAAAAGGAAAGGGAAGTTCTTTTTTGGACGAACGAAAAAGGAAAGTTGGAAGTATTTTCAGGGACGGAAAGAGTATTAAAATAAAACTTATTTATATAAATATACCTAATATTTACTGGAATGTAGTATCATGATAACTTAAGTTTAAAAATTGAACTTAAGTTACTATGATTTCATATCTACTCTAGTCACTAGTTACATTTTTATAAACAATCTTTATATTAGTCATAAATATGTAATTATTTGTGGGTTTTTTTATAAAAAAAATACTTAATACGGTATATAATGTAGTGTCATGGTAAATTAAGCTTAAAAAATGAATATAAGTTATTATGATGACTAGTCACATTTTTATAAATAATCTTTATTTTAGGCATAAATATGTAATTTTTTCTTAAAAATAATTTTCATTTTTATGTCGCAATAATTTTTTATTTTCTCTTTTAATAATAATATATGATTCACATCAATTTACATTTTTCTATTCAAATTTCAACCACATTTAGCACATTTTCATTTAAGGGTGAAAACTATACCAACACTTATTCTATTTGTGTATATGGATGAATTGCATTTTAAGCGAATTGTCCATCTACACATGCAAAGCATATGTATAAAAAGCGTATAGAAATGTGTGTACATAATTTTTTTCAATAGCTTATTGTAGGATAAATGTAAGAATGATTCATGATTTATGATTTTAAAATTTTTTAAGATGTGACAAGAGTGTCTAATAAGTATATATATGCAGTACATACACATTATTTGAAGATGATATTCAAATTATTAAGAGGGGTCTTTTTGGAAAGTATCAAGAAGGGTTAATAGCAGAAAGGAAAAAGAGGCAAATAAGCCTACGTATTAACAAAAAAAGGTCAAATACCAAATTATTCATTAAGTGGGGTGGTTCCCGGTGGAAGTTTTTGATGCAATTTTGTAAGCATATTATTCATTAAGTCTAGTTTACTCATACCAATTTTGGGAAGACATTCAAATGAGTTCTTGATGATAACTGTGGAGGTAAAAGCGCATTTATCTTCAAGAATTTATTTGAATGTCTTCCCAATTGAATTGTTAGCTGAAATTTGGTATGAGTAAACTAGACTTAATGAATAAGATTCTCAAAAAAATTTATCAAAAATTTCCAGCGGGAACTGCCCCAAATGGTGACGGCCGGACAGAGTCTCCTATATAAGGACTTATTTGACCTTTTTGTTAGTATGTGAGCTTATTTGACCATTTTTCCTTTGTGCTATTAACCCTTCTTGATACTTTCGAAAAAGACCCCTCTTAATAATTTGAATATCATCTTCAAATAATGTGTATGTAGTGCATATATATACTTATTAGACCCACTTGTCACATCTTAAAAAATTTTAAAATCATAAATCACGAATCATTCTTAAATTTTAACTGCGCACTTAATGAATAATTTGGTATTTGACCCTTTTTTGTTAGTACGTCACTACATGGGCTTATTTGCCCCATTTTCCTAGCAGAAATAATGCCAAATATGCAACGAATTAGTGGTAATTGAAGATGTGATTTTTATACTTAAATAATTATAATCACAACGTTAATAATTACGGTCGTGTTCAATTTTACACTATATTGATTGTAATATTATGTCCGTAATGACCTTAGTAATATTTTTGTACATATCTTATATCAGGTATTTCAATAATATTTAAGGGAAAACTCCTAATAACTTTAATCAATCATTTAGTACTAAAAATTATAAAAGCTAATTATGTGAAAAGCATTGAAAAGACAATATAAATAAATGATATAGAGTTTTCGACATAGTAAAATAAATAAATTTATCATTACAATTCTCATCTAGGTCTTACTTGGTGCTAAAATTATCAACACATCAAAGGCTCAAAGCCTCAAACTGTTATACTCGTATGACTTTGTTCCTTTATCAATAAATCCTCCGTACGGCTAAGATTGTCCAATTTTTCCTTTCCGGTTAGTCTCACTAAGATTTTTTTATATCAAATTCGGAAAAAATTGTGTCGTTTTAAATCAATCATACTTTATTCTTACTTTACCAATTCAGAGGCCGTTTGGCAACCCTCATTTTCGGTTTATCAGGCTTATCACCCAACTTTTTTACCAAACACGTAAATTTTGCTTTCGCGCGCTGAATTGTAAAATAAGCCGAAAAAGTAAGGTTGAAGTTACTTTTCTGGCTGTATTGGCTGAAGTTACTGTAGATGATCATTTTAGCTATTTTTACATATAATTTTTTCTTTATTTTATTAATAAATTATATTTTAAAAATATTTTTTTCTTGTATCAGCAGAATCAGCCAATGCAGCCACTTCAACCAGAACTTCATAAATTTCAGCAGAATCAGCCAAAACAGCCGATTTTCGTGCTACCAAAGGGGCTCTCAATATCAATCACATAAATCCACTATTCATATTAACTGCACCACTTCTTCATGTTTCAATGTTAGTGGAACACATGTAGTATTAATATAACAACTAACTACCATTTATTGCTATATGTAGATCATGGACTATGTCACTGCTTCTATCCGAGATTAGATATGGACTCGGGCCGGGTGGTCCGACCCGGAACCGGCCCGGGACCGGTACTGTTCCGGCCCGACCCGGTGGCCCGGTCAGTGACCGGTCCGGGTAGGCCCGGCCCGTGGGTTTTCCGGTCCGGGCTCGGGTCACCCAAAACAAGGCCCGACCCGGCCGGGCTCGGGCTCGTTTCGGGCTAAAATCTATTTTTTTTTCAATTTTTTTTAAATTTTCGGGTTGGGCTGGGTATTTTGGGCCATTTGGGGTGGTTTGGGGGGTTGGGGGGGAAGGGGGGTTAATTAGGAAGAGGAAAACAAAAAAAAAAAATATAATGGACCCGGACCGGACCGGACCCGAACCGGACCCGGTGGTTACCCGGGCCGGCCCGGGTCCACCATTTCTGACCCGCCGACCCGCCCGGGCCTAGGCCCGACCCGGACCTGACCCGACCCGGACCGAGTCCATACCTATCCGAGATCAGTAAATTCGTGGTCGATGTCTTTTTTTATGCTATGACTTGGGGATAAGAATACAAAAGTAAGCTAAATTATTGGCAAGAATTCTTAATAATAGGAAAAGAATTTGGACACAGTAAGAAGAACTCAGCCGTATATGAGTTTGAGAATTATACAGAGAAAGTTTAGAAAGATGTTTTGGGAAGAAGATAGATTATGAACTATCTCTAATTACTCTACAATCAGCTATTTAAAAAATGGAATTAAACTAATCTCAGTTTAACAACTAACTGCTCCTTTAGTTATCATAAACTCGTTAGTCATAATCCCACGTGACCACATCAATCCATCCACATGGCATGCAATTATGGAGTGGTGAACACACTCCCATCAAGCTGGTTGTGGACCTCCTGTTCTTGCCAAAGAGGCATATTTGGTCTAATAGAAAAATAAGTTTAACGGAATGCAAGTTCTGATCTAAGCTTTTTAAAAACAAAAGGTCAAAAGCTTAGGGCTCCATATTGATACAACCTAACACTCCCTGCTTTGAACGTTTTGGTATTGTGATGATGGTTTTATAGAGTAATGAAAGTATGATAGTCCATATATGTATATGTAAATATGTAATAATTAACTTACAAGTAAATAAGTAATTTTTTTTATTTTCTTTTTTTACCCTGGGGGGTCGGGGGATTGGGCTGGAGAGTATGGGATAAACAGAGTTAAAACTCATTCCATGAAGTTTCAAACCTGAGACCTTCCGTATGGAGAGTTAGTCGGCCACCACCTGAGTTGGACAACTTCCTCATAAGTAATCATTTTAGAAAAGTTTTGTGAATCGGAGGGAGTAATAAGTAGACGCCTTGCAGTATT